CCGCTATATCCTATGAGAATGCCACTTGATCGTTTTAATGATTTAACCCACCTGTAAAATTCTTTCACCTCCATCTCGTTATTATTCTATAATATTATTATATATGTATTAGCACAGTCAACGAGCTGTTGGTAGAATTAAGGCTGGAAGTTTGTACTAGTATTTGAGATGTATCGAATACCGTATTGAATTTATTATTATTTGGTATTATTAAATACCGGTTTATTTTTTTGGGATTGGGATTCATTTTGGTATTATTCGGTATTAGAGATTATGGAATTGAGATCAGTATATACCGAAATATCGAAAAATACCGAAAATAAAAACTTAATGAAATATAGCATGCAACCTTTGGTCATTCCTCACTCTTCCACAATTTAGAAGTCTATATCCAACTCAATTTTGACTTTCTAGTTTAAGTCACTCTCGTCTCTCGCCTAATCTTTTGTTATTTTCATAACACCAAAAGACAAACACTAGTATTAGTCGTCTCTCAGCCTCCAATTCGTCAAATTAAAGTTTATCAATGATAACAATTTGAAATGTCACATCTCCTACATTCTCCATATTCATATCCAAGCTCCTGGCAAACTCAAGACTATTCGTTTAGTCTCTTTGCACTAAATTAAACAATCAAATCTAATTTATATATTTAATTATTAATTGTGAAGGTAATTAATTTCGTATTCGATAATACCGATTGGCGATTGAGATACCGAAGTACCAATTGGGATACCGAAGTACCGATTGGAATATCAAAATATTTAGGGATTGGGATACCAAAATTATTTAGGGATTGAGATACCAAAATTATTTAGGGATTGAGATTGGGTGTAATTTAGCATTCGGGATTTCGGTATTTGGTATCGGCATACCAATACCGTATCGATTTCCACCTAGGTATAATATTTCGTTTTCATCCGCTATATATATTGTGTATATATTGTGTTTGACTTTGTGATTCGATTCAATCAATAGTGTTTTGATTATTATTCGTCCCGGCCCTTTGCTTTCAGCTTCATGTGCTTCTACTTTGGCAATTAAGGTGCAAATTCGATGTTGCAAGTTGATTTGGAAATTGTAGGGCTGTAAATTAAAGGAGTGTAAGAAGAAAATGAAATTGTTTAATGAAAAATTAAGGGGTGCAAATAGACTGAAAAAATGAGTAAATTTATTTTCGTGATGGCGGCAATGTTGCTGAGTGCAGCTCCAGTTGCAGTGCCAATAAGTTGGGCATCACTGTTCGCGGCCAATCGGATGACATATCGACCTCCCCAACGAAAGGAAGATGGATTTTCGCTTCCCCGTGAGGTGAAGAAGAGGGGAGAGAGCTATGGATGGACTGTCTCATCTCACAATTCGTCGGTCCTCTTCCTAAGCCTGTAGCTCTTCAGCAATGAGCTACAAGTCTATGGGGAAGAGAAGGCGTCGTGGTGCAAGTCTCGAAGTTCGGCCTGAGATTGCTGGTTTTCCATTTCCCATCGGCGGCCACAAGCAAGTGGATCTTCGAATCAGGTCCCTACCATTGTTAAGGTAACCCAATTTATTTTCGAAAATGGTCACCGGGGATACAACCAATTACTCCACTAGTTGAAACTCTACATGTTTGGGTTAGAATCTAGGGTATTCCTCTTGACTACCATTCGTTGAACGACACGAATGGATAGCTAGTACTTTGTCCTCTCTGGATGGACCAGACCACTAGGATTGGGGTGCAGCTAGGGTTTACTAAAATTTGTGTTGATGTTGCTGCAGATTGTGGCTTCCCTACTCGTGTTTGTCTTTACCCAGCTGATGATCCCTAATTTGAGGTTGAAGTAGAATATAATAAGCCATTGGTTGTAACATATGTGAGATTTATGGTCATGACTACGATTGGCTAGCTAAAAGTGGGACGAAGTGGGTTCCAAAATAAAGTCTGATGTTGCTGTAGTGGTAGTAGATTTGAATGACAATATTGGGGAAAAACAGGATGTTGTCCCTAATGGCAAACAACTAATAGAGAGCAGTTCCCCAAAATTGACAGAAGTTGGTACTTCTGATTTGAATGATTTGGGGTTTCTCAACTCTATTATGGCTACTAAAGAACATAGGCCTTCATCAGCTTCTCCAATAACTAGGAGCCCTGCAATGAGTTATGTTGAGGCGGTTAGAGAATCATCAGTTAATTCGGGGAGTCCTTTAGCCCATTTGCAAGTGTCTGAGAAGTCTAATTTACTTTAACCATATGGGAAATTAGACTCTCAGGCTTCTCGTGTTGGCAAAGTCACTACTAACTCGTGGATCACAGTTGGAGGTTATACTGCAAAGAGGAACCCACCTACACCTTATGTTCCCCCCTGCTAAGAAAGAGTGGAGAGGAGGGAAGAAAATATGAAGATCCTCTCTTGGAATACCAGAGGATTTAAAGACTGACAAAATAAAGTTGTACAACTTATATTGAATAAGTATAAGTATAGTAGGTTTTTGGAGTCAAGAATAAGAGCCAGTGAGTCACATAATATCATAAGTAAACGGTTTTCTGGGTGGGAGAAGGAAGTAGAAAATCAGGTCTGGATAAATTATGGATTATGTGGAAACAAGATGTCAACCTGAAAATTCTAGACATCTATGATCAGTTTGCATGCCTTGGTGGGCTCAGGTAATCCTTTTCATTACTTTCGTCTATGCCTTGAATGAAGAGTGTGGTAGAAGGCAATTATACAGTGATCATGAAAAGTTAAAAATTGTAAATTATCCTTGGACCATCTTAGGAGATTTTAATGCAAGTAATGGTCCTGAAGATGCTTCTAATAACCATGACCCAAACAATAGCATGAAGACTTTAACGAGTGGCATAATCATTTAGAAATTGTTGAGCATAAAACCTCAAGGCATTGGTTTACCTTGATTAATAAACAAACCAAAATCCCGATTGCTAGAAGACTATACAAAGTATTTGTCAACTTAAAATCTGATAACACCCAAATTGGTGCTATTTACCCTTCATATTTAGGTTTGTTTCGTGCTAATTCATATGCATAATCAGAAGAATATCATTGATTGCATCCCAATTTTGTTCCTTTTTAATTATGTCGTGATTTTAGGGTGCTTTAGACGATATATGTGAATTAGGTACGAAAAAGGGCACAAGTGTAGTGAAATGTGCAGAAAGTTGATGATCACAGCCTGGACGGGAAAGATCTCGGCCGAGATAGCAGACTCTGAAGCAGGAGAGAAGATCACGACCTGAGGACCCTAGTTTGCGTCCACGAAAATAGAGCCCTTGGGTGTAAACTTTGTGAGAAGCCACCTAAGAGAAGATAGAAAGTTTCAACGGTCAAATAACGGTCACCGTCTTCCCTGACTGTGAGGAAGTTTGCGGCCGCGACTCACGGATCTCGACCGTGAAGTCAGCCCGCGAACTCGCTTAAGATGAAGACCAAACCGGCGAAGCCTAAAGATCGCGGGCTCAAAGGGAAAGATCACAACATCGAACTCCCCCTGCTCGGCCGTGAACTTGTCTGCCCTCGTGAAGTCAATAAATAGAGGACCTTTTCCCCCATTTTGAGAGGGTTGATTTGGAGATAGAAATTTATGATTTAGAGAGAGAGAGAGAGAGAGAGAGAGAGAGAGAGAGAGAGGCCGAAGGAAGGAGAAGAGGAGAAGGAGTAGTCTCTTAAGGTACTAGGGGTTTTAACCCCCAAACCTTAGTTTTAGGGCTATTATGTGAATATGTTAGGGTTTTGAATGAATGCATTTGTCTAGTTGATTTTAATGCTTCATCTAGCTTTAATTATGCTTGGGTAAGTCGCCCTAATCTTCTCTACTAGCCTACTTGAGCTTCTACGCTAGGTATGGAGTTTTAGGGTTAGACGGGTATGTTCAATCTGGCAGATTAGGATTAGATGAATGAATAGGGTCTTGTGGTGACGAAGCGACCGAATCCCTGCCACAAGAACACCTCCTATGGAACCCAGGATGAAACCTCGGTGTGGACGGTGGGTAGTACGTATTGAAAGAAGCTAAGTTCTTAAAGCCCCAGATACGTGAGCCTATACCAAGGTGACAATTGGGTAGGTGGTGCGTACTCGGAGGCGTGTGGATAATCATGAAGGCCCACGTAAAAGAGCTCACTCACCACATTTGCTTAACCCAACATGTTCAGACATTTGGATGATAGAACTAGGCTATGGTGAGGGTTAGTTCCCCAATGTACCTGCTTTTATCCTTGTTTATTCTCTCTACTGGTTATTTCACACTGGTTATTTCACTTGAATCCTCCAACATCACCCCTTAAACCAATCAGCTAGATATCAATAATGTGGGAGTAGGCTAGGGTCAGTGGCGGATACAGGGACCATTAGGGGTGTCCCGGGACACCCCTAAAATTTGGGATAACGATTATCCAACCCCAAATAATAGTTTCGTATGGATAAAAAAACTATAATCGGTAATCCGAGACACCCTTAAATTTTGAAAAAACGATTATTCTAATCTCGGTAGTAATTTGTGTATGATTAAAAAAATATAAGTGGTACTTTGTATTATTCAAACATAGGACACTACTATTATTAAACATATTCTATAGGTTTCAACTCGTTTCTTGTTCTATTTTAAACACTAAAATATTAAAAACATTATTCCTTATCCCTAATTATTTTCAAAACCTAACAATTAAACTAATTACGGGTTATCCTTAATTTGAATTGATTTCATGATTACATGACAATAGTTAAAAGAGTCTTTCTACTATGAGTTACATCAAGAACAATGTTAGAAATCGAATATGCGATCAGTTCGTGCATTATTGTCTAGTAGGATATACAGATTTGTTGAGCAATGTAGATATTGAGTCTATTTTATATTCTTTTTTTAAAATATGAAAATACGTCCTAACCTTTTGCTAAAATATGTACTAGTCGGATATTGTCTGATTTATGAATTATTTAATTAATTTTTAATTTAATTTTTAGAAGAGGACACCCCTATAAAAAAATCCTGAATCCGCCACTGGCTAGGGTACCGGGACCCAAGTGAATACTACCTTGATTGCCACTATATGACAATGACATTATATGTTAAAATTGGACTTGAATGGGTTAGTTATTAATACATGCAAACTACTGAGAATGACCTACACGAAATGAATCGATAAAGCTTTTTGGCGTCGTTGTTGGGGAACCTCGGTAACTAGTAGAAAACCATCAAGTTGTTAGTAGTTTTACCATTTTTGTGTTTTGTTATCCAACTTTGTTCATCACGGGTTGTTGAATTTGTGTCTTGTAGCACTCTTGTATGCGACGAAGGGACTCTATGGAAATATTACCTCTTGATACAGAAATCGAGAGAACCCTTCGAAATCTAAGAATATTTTCAAGACATCAACCTCCACTAATGGAGGACCAACAACATCAACCTCAAGTTCTACCAAGGTCTAGAACAATAGGATCTTATTCAAGGCCAAGTGTGGATAGTTTTCAATCTCCTATTCTTCACCCACTAGTGCCGAACAAAAACTATGGGATAAAACCATGCACAATTTTGATGCTTCAAAGTGTAGTTCAATTCAATGGGATGATGAGTGAAGATGTTCACGCACACATCAAGTCGTTCTACGAGTTGACTGATGGAATTAAGATAAACAGGGTTCCTCAAGAGGCAATCTGTCTGAGGTTATTCCTGTTTACTTTAAATGGAGAGTCAAAGCAATGTTGAATAACCATCCCCATCACTCCATAACCTCGTGGGCGGATCTATGCGACATGTTCTTCGCAATGTATATTCCACCCTCTAAGACGACCTTAATGAGAAGCGAGATTATTATGTTCCTTGAAGAGGAAGATGAGCCATTGTTTGAAGCATGGGAAAGGTTTGCATCACTTCTACTCAAATGTACACACCACGACATCGTCGATTCGTTTCAAGTGGAAAGCTTTTATAATGGTTTGACAAGGGAGTCACGAAACCTCATCGATGAGGCTAGTGGAGGTGCCATCAAGAACAAGGAAGTTGGTGGATTTCAAAGTCTCATTGAAGAGATGGCCCTAAATAACCATGATTGGGATGACGGAAGGAGAGCTAAGAATGTGAAGAAGGGAATTTTATTAAAGATTGACGAACCATCTTCGTTAGCTTCTCATATACAAGAACTCTCCAACAAAATTGATCAAGTTGTGTCATCTATGAAAGGCAATGGAAAGCAACTCATGAAATGTGATTGGTGTGGTGAGTCGAGTCACACTATGGAGGAGTGTAAGTCTAAGATTGAGGCCTCAATACAGTTTGAGCAAGCTAACTTTGTTGGAGGGAAATCACGAGGGAACTACCCATACAGCTCTACATATAATCCGGGTTGGAGGAACCATTTCAACTTTCTTTGGTCTATTCCGACGGATAGAAAGCCTCCGAGGTTTCAATCTCAAGCTCCTATGCAAAATGCTTATCCAATGCCAAGTCAACCTTCATACCAAGGAGCTTATCAAGTTCAAGGTCGACCCTCCAATGGTCCAGTCTCTAAACTTCAAGACTTGGTAGGTCAATTTGTTACAAACACCAACAAGAAGTTTGGTGCTATTGACAAATTCATGGAGAGTACTACGACCAATTTCTCAAATTTGGAAGCGGGTGAAAGGAATCAACAAGCTTTGCTTCAAAATCTTAGAACCCAACTAAGCTCATGGGCCCAAACTCTATCGTCAAGACCACGAGGAACCTTACTGGGAAATACCAAACCTAATCTTAAAGATGAGTGTCACGTGGCAACTCTAAGGAGTGACCAGCCTCTAATGGAGGTTCCTATCCCAACCTCGGGATACCGATATGAGAGGTTCAAAGAGAAGTTGTGCAAGTAGAAGAGATAGTTCGGGAAGACGTGCAGCCTCCTATCGAAATCAAGATTGAAGACGAAGAGAAGGCTAAGAGGACTCAAGTACCTAATTCAACACCAAAAGCTCATTATCCTAGACGCTCATTTGAAAGTGATCTACATCATGAATGTGCTCCATGGAAGGATACTTTTAAGCAATTGAAGGTAACCGGTCCTTTCTTAGACATGGTTATGAAAATCCCCAAACATACTCAATTCTTGAGAGAGATATTTTCGGAAAAGAGGAAGACGGAGGAAGTTTTTATGGTTCTATTAGTGAAGTTGCTTCAACATCCATCGGGTGTGCAGGCTTCTCTCCAAATCTAAGAGATCCAGGAATCTTCACTATTCCATGTACCTTTGGATTCAAAACTTTTTGGAATCCGCTAGCAGATTTGGGGTCTTGTATCAATATTATTCCTACAAGAATATACAATGAGTTAGACTTTGGACCACTCATGCCTACTAAAATGCATATTGAGTTGGCCAATAGATTCGTTGTCGAGCCAAGGGGAGTCATAGAAAATATCTTAGTGAAATGTGGTCATTTTTTTATCCTGTGGACTGCATGGTTCTCGACAGGGAAGGATGTGATGCATCGATAATCCTAGGCCGACCATTTCTTATCTAGGACAAGGACCATTATCGATGTGAGTGGAAGCAAGATCACCTTATGGTTTGGAGAGGAGGAGATAAGCTACAAGATGACTCTAATCCCCAATTGTCACAAGTACTACAAATGGGAATATTTGAAGATGGATTGTGAGCCAGTCACACCTCCTTCCACACCACCTTCAAGCCCCAATATATAATGGTTCAATATGGTCTCTCATGTTGATTCTCAAGATAGAAGATTTGAAAGTATGGATGATTCTTGCGAGCTTAAGAAGATACAAAAGTTGTTTGAAGTCTCTCAACAAGCCAATGGAAATAGAAGGGAACTCATAAGGTTCATCCTTGAAGAGAGATACCCCAAGGTAAGAGTTCAAGATACGACGAAGGAAAAGAATGTGAGCAAGCTATCTCCCATTCTCGAATACGAAGAATCCGGGGAATGCTTTCCATTCACGGATGAGGACACTTGCCCAAAGGAGTTTAGTTTCTTTGATCATGAACATTGTTTTTCGAATATGACTTTTGAATCTCAAGCACCGGATGAGGCATCCGAGAGACTACATGGTCTTCATTTGGGACTTCACCACAAGTATAATTTATATGAAGAATCATCGGTGGAGAATGGAGCTCTTACCGCTTGATCTCATGGATTCAAGTCCGGCCAAAAGACTTTAAAAGATGCGCTAGTTGGGAGGTAACCCAATGATTCGTTTTGCATATATTTTCCTTTTTCTTTTTTTGAATAATTGATTAAGTTGAGGATTGGAATTGCATAGATGATGATTGATAGGACTTAGCCCTCACCTTGTCTCATTTTCTGGATGTTTGATTGATTTAGATGAATGATTAAGCTTCACTTGTTGACTCGTGTTTAGTTGATTTGAGTTGATTAAGGAGATTCTGAGGTTATTCATTTTCATTGAACAATATCTCCCTCTAGGTCCTCCCTTCTTCCCAAGCTTTAGTTTCACTCAAGTGTGAGGGAGCTTAGAGAATTGATAAGAGTTATTTGGAAGTTCTTTTTATGGTATGTGATGTTTGGATTGATGGTTTGTGCATATTGTACTACTTGTTTTGAAGGATAACTTACAAGAACAAGGGAATGGCGCGTAGAGAGAGTTCTTCCAACATAGAAAGTTCTTGAACTTCTTGTCCTCGCCATGACCATCGGAAGAAGAAAATAAAATTCGGATCAAAGGAAGTAGTGGTTGAAGAACCGAATCCACCATCACTCTCTCCCCATCTACCAAGGGAAATTTAACAAGAAAGTCAAGCCAATGTTAGAGGCGACATGGATCATCTTACTCATTTTTATTTGGAAAATGCCCCCAAGAAATTTAAGACCAAAATTCCTTGGCTTCAAGAACTTCCTCTTGGCGAGAGTACATGTCTCAACTGGATACTCTTTGCACAACTAGGGATCGAGGACACAATTCGTTCCAAGATTCAGAAGTTGGAGTGGCTTAAATTGTTATCCATTCAAGAGAACATCTACAGGGTACTTATTCTAGAATTCATTAGCACTCTTACCATTCAAGATATGCGAGGTGTCGCTGACCTTCAAGACAACATCCCATTCAAACTATGAGGAGAACATTGCCAAATGTCGATCCGAGAGTTTACAAGAGCCATGGATATTTACCCAGCGGATTTCGTTTACTCACCGAAAGCGCTTTTGCTACCTTGACAAGTGAATCCAACTTCCCATGTTTCATGCCTTTCTATGAATCCGAATTTAAGAAGTCCAACAATCGACCATTGGATCTCAAACTATCGAAGGCTAGTGAGGTGAAACCAGACTGACGATTAATCCACCATGTGATTGCTAGGTCCGTGGGTGGAAAGAACCGAAGCAAGGGCAATTAGACTGTCTGAGAGGTCATTTTCTTCCACAATATGCATCTTCCTCAATCGTTTCACCACGATTTGGTAATTCTGTCCATCTTCAAGTGATATGAAGCGGATCATCGACTCACTTCCCTTCATGGAGGAGCTTATGTCACTTGACTTGCAAAGTATTTCGGAGTCGACTTCTTGGCTGTGCAATTTTGGTTGGATAGTAGGACTACTCCTATATCCTTTGAAATCTTGAATTCCATAATTATAGTGTTACATTTGAGTGATGATGGAGTTTAGGGAGTACGTGGACTTCCATTTCCAGCCACTAAGACATTGCATATGGAGGGTATTGTGTTCCGTCTTCCGGAAGCCACCGCGGTAAGAGGACGAAAAGGGCTAGTCAATGAGGAAGAACAAGTTGAAAGCATGTATGATGGAGGAGAGGTGCATCTATCCACTTCTCATCCGGTTCCCCCTCCACTCAACCATGAAAGGGATCTCTTATTTGAAGAAATGATAGCGGCAATCCTTCACAATCAAAGGAGGGACAAGGAAGCGCGGCTCCATATCATGGCATGCATCCATGCTACAATGAAGATGATGGATATCCCGATTAATGATGTATCGCCCCAATTTGTTCCCTCGCCTTCCCCTTTGCCATTCCAAGAATAAGAAGAATGAACCTCTAAGGAGGATTAAGTACTAGGCATCCAGGGCCTAAGTCCTATCTTTTCTTTTTCTTTGCTCTTCTTTTCTTTTCCATAAACAATGTTTAATTATTGCTTTCTTTTCATTCTAATTTTTGTACTTTAAATATTCCCGTAGTAGTCGTAACGTTAATTATATTATTTATTTATGGTACCTATATCTTATAATCGTCTTCCTCTATTTCTTATGCGCTTTATCATTGTGAAAACCACCAGGAAGACAAAGACATGCACTTGTGTACCTTCACCAACCCACAACCCACAACCCTATCTATGGTTACCTTTATGATCTTCTCTTTTGATCCTCCCTTGATAATGAATGTAAGATGTTGATGATTGCTTATGGGAGTGTATGCTAGCGATTGAGAATGTTTGTGGTGTTAAATTGCTTATTGATTGTGTTTTGGAACCTAGAATGCAATACCCAAAATTTTCCAAATTTGAGGGTTCCAAAACACCTTGTTTCTTGCAACTTCCTACTCGATATGCTTTGAATTGATAGTTAATTTATGTGTTTTGCTCGATAGGGTGTAGTTGCATGATTAGGTTTTACTCTCTTCTTCCTCTTTGGTGAGTCGATAATGTTTTCTATTTTGTGAAGCACATGTGTGTGGGACTCTCCACCACTTTTGAAATCGAAACTTCCACAAATATGTGCTCAATTTTGATTTTTTTTTGGAAAAGAGGTTCTCACGTGAGAGGCAACGAAGCATAGTGTTTGAGTTAAGCCGTCAAAGGGCTTTGCTGTTGGCTCGGAGTGCATTTAAGGATGTGTTTGGGGATCGGATAGCTTTACCGCGTCCCGACCATTTTTCACTACTTACCATCCCCCAAACACCTCTCCTCCTCACAGAATCTTGTAGTAAGGTACAAAGTACTTTTAGCGATTCAAGATATCTCAACTCTCGTTTGTACCCAACATGTGTGGCAACCAAATGTGGAGTGTAGGCTGGGAAGTGGTGCTCAGGCTAAAACGAATCCGCCCATCAACTTCCCCACATGTGACCTTGATGGGGAAGGCAAGGTTATGATCCATCAGCTCTTGGTCATGAGGGAGATATTCTTGTTTGCAAGGAGTTTGCAAAAGTTTGGTTCAATGCGCGTCAATGTTGAAAAAGGAGACCGATGAATGATAACTCCTAAATTGTAATAAACAATAAATAGCACCCTGAAGAGTTCTTGTGCTTAATTGTTGTTGAGAAGTCCCCCAGTGCACACCTTGAATGTTCATCCCGAGGTAGTAGGTATGGTCCTCACCAAGGACTTTGTTTTTCACAGTAAGATGATAGTAACGCTTACTTGTCTTGTCTTCGTCTACTCTTTTGTATGCAATGAAGAACTAGAGTGCACTCCCCGTTGATTTTATCTATCAAGTTGCATTGCTTCATGCTAATTCATGTTCATAATCAAAGAATGTCATCGATTGCATCCTAATTCCGTTCCTTTTTAATTATGTCATGATTTTATGGTGGTTTACACGATGCATGTGAAATAAGTACGAAAAAGGGCACATATGAATCCTCCAACACAACCCCTTAAACCAATCGAAAAATAAATATCAACAATGTTGGAAGTAGGCCAGGATATCGGGACCCGAGTGAACATGACCTTGATTCCCACTATATGACAACGCCATTATAGGTTAAACTTGGCCTAGAATGTGGTAGTTATTGATACGTGTAAACTACTGACAATGACGTTCACGGAATGAATCGATTAAAATGGTTAGAGATTAACTCAAAAATTATAGTGGATCTTATGGATCCTTCTGTATCAGACCACTACCTATCTACCAAGTCGGGCTCAAATCACGGTCCCAGTTCACGACCGTGAACTCAAGGCGGGGACCGTAAATCTCGTGCCAAAACGCACCGCATCACTAACTTAGTTTACCGTCTCTAGCTTGGGTTCACGGTCTTACGACCGTGAACTGGCTTGAGTCAAGTGAGAACCAAAATGGCTCCGGACGTCAGGCGGTTCACAGTTTGCGGCTCAGTTCACGGTCTCCCTGACCGTGAACACACTGCTTCCCCGTGATCTGCTACTACCTGCATCCTTTGACCCGATTTTGCGCATTTTCGTCCAACTTTCGACTCCAGGGTTGGTTCCACCTGCTATAGACTGAAATGCACAAAACGAGACAAAACCCAACGTAAAACCAAACCTCCTAGAGCATAAATGCCTCATACGATTAAGGAAAACGGGGGTAAAAAATGTACAATTAAGCCCGAATCACTCCCCCACACTTAGACGTTTGCTTGTCCCTAAGCAAAACATTTTCAACCAAGGTGATAACCTATCAAAATAACTTGGGGACAAATCAAAAGGAAAAAAGTGGTGAATCTCAATGGCTATTGGACATTAACGCATGAACTGCCACAAGCAATACCAGCATCCCCCACAAATGACATTCGAATGCATCAAGAACGTGCAAATGAAAAAATTTCACCCTGTTCACAAATCAAAACAAGTCTCGACCGGACTACTCACTTATAGGGCAAAAGCGTATATGCTTTAATCCAATCTCGTAGTAAACCAGAAGTCCGGGTATCGTCTCTCATGGACTGGTTCAACCTTATATTCTATAAATTTTATAGAGCAAACTATAAGTGAAAAGAGTTTAATGAGACTAATTTCTAAAAGCAAAATAAACTAAACAAATTAAGAAAATGAAAACTTTCGGGAGAAATTCAATGGGAGAAAGTTATGGAAGAAACACCAGGACCATGATAATAGGGTGGAGACCGTGAACGAGGACAGTTCCAGAAAATTTGAAACACACCGTTTTGGCTCGAGATCACGATCTGGGAGTTATGTTCACGGTCTTAGCGAACGTGAATAGAAGCCTCTGTCCGTGAACCTCGGCTTGGGCTATATAAGGGCGAGAACCCTTCTTCTTCACATCACGTCACCCCCATCGCCAGAATCCTCTGAAACTCGTCAAAAAACCGTGAGATTCCGTTGTTTTTCATCGACTTCCAGCCACCCATTTTCAAAACCAAGCACAGACCTAGAATAACCACTCCCGGGCGCACCTTCGCCAAAGTTTTGTGCCAATTCGGCTCAAATTTTTTCCGAGTTGGGCGATATTCGACGAGCCTTCGGCGACACTCCGACGAGCTCGTGTAGAGTTTTCATATAATAGGACTTTTCATTCTACCACTAAATTTTCACCATTTGAGATTGTGTATGGATTTACTCCTTTATCCCCATTGGATTTTTCTCCATTTCCTATCAATGAGCATGTGAATTTAGATGGTGCGAAGAAAGCAGAGTTTGTTCGAGGTTTGCACGAGAAGGCGCGGCTGACATAGACAGATAGAGCAGCTTCTGAAGAACGTGAATAAGCATCTGCGTCCTTAACGATTTGAGCCAGGAGATTGGGTCTGGGTTCACATGAGGAAGGAACGTTTTCCCCATCAACGACGTTCAAAGTTGCTGCCTCATGGAGATGTCCCTTTCAAGTCCTCGCCCGCATCAATGACAATGCCTACAAGAATGATCTACCGAGCGAGTATGGTGTGAGTGCTACGTTTAATGTTGCTTACTTAGCTCATTTTCTTGAAGACGAATAAGATTTGAGAGAAAATCCTTTTCAAGTGGATAGGGATGATGAGCGCATCAACACCAAGGCAATCTCAAGTCCAACTCTTGTGCGAGAGGAACATGGTTTGATCACTAGAAGTCAAGCCAAGACATTCAAGGCTCGACTTCAAGCTTATTTGGCCCAGAACTTCACCAATATGTCGGCCGACTTGTTCTTGGGACGAGAAGTGATGATCATTGGAGTTGGGGTTGCTTTAGGCCAAAAACCCGACCATGGAGGAGAAAACCCGAGATGGTAATTTGAGGCCACGACTGGGTAGCACGAGCAAAACACCCCCCCATCCTTGAAGCCTAAATACCCGATCGGATATTTGAGAGGGGAGGTTGGGTATTTTGGGTCGGCTGTTACCAACGAGTTTTTTGTTTCATTTGCATATTATGTGACTTTTACACCAAAACTCTGGTTTCTTTGTTATTTTTGGGCCAAAAGCTTTGCAGCCTATATAAGGGGCCGAACTAAGTCCTTTAGAGGGTAATAAACAATTTAGTTCAGAAATCAAACCCTAAAATTGGTCGTTTGATCACCAACTTCTCTTCTTCTTCTTTCTTGATCGTGAATAGATTCAGCAAGAGGAAACCGACTTTTTTGCTAGCTCATCACCCTAGTCGAATAGTCCTTCGTATACATGGCCCTATTCCAGACGTGTGGATTTGGTTTGGGTTATTATCCGCTTTGTTGTTGTTGTTGTGCTTCTAATCTACCTTTGTTGCATTTCTGATCGTTTAAGTCCTGGAGTTAGAGCCTCGGCTTATATAACCATTTGAGACACGTCACCTTTAGCAGCTTGATTCACCATCAACTATCAAGGTGTTTATGTCGAGGGTCTTGCCAAAGATGTTGGTCACTTGTTCTTGTGCATACCCATTATGAGGGAAAGAATGAAGTAACCCTTGATATCCCTCGCATGATTCGTACAATGACTCATGAGGTCGTTGTCGGAATCGAGAAATTTGGTCTTTTAGCTCATCGGTTTTCCATGAAGGGAAGAACTCGTCAACGAATGCTTGGCTCAACACCTCCCACGTGCAAAATGACCCTTATATCTGATCATATTTATATTAGAATATCCTAGAGCCTCTTAATTGTGTGCACATGAGGCATGGAAACCTCAAGTATGAGAAAGACAAGATTATAAATTTAAAGTATGGTTACTAGGTTTTGTATTTAGTGCACTCACTTTTTTAGGTGCGTGCTATGCATCCGCCTCATAACTTTCATTGCATTTTATGTTAAAACGATGTCAACCGTCACTTTGTGATGATGGACAAGAAAATAAATGAATTTGCACAAAAATCATTCAAGATTTACTTTAATTTGAAGGATTTAGGGTTTATCTATTACGGATTTATAATTTGCGGTTTAGGATTTATGATTAAAAGTCTAGGGTTTAGGGTAATGCCCTGATTATGTGTGATCCTACGTTACATGCATCATATTAGACTAATGCTTCCAATAAAAGTTCATAA